GGGATGCTGAGGGGACGGGTGGGCGGCCGGTGCCCACGATGCTTCTCCCCGCGTTTCCCCGGGGACTCCGCCGCAGACATGAGGCGTTCCTCGAGGGGGAGTTCATTAAAAGGAACGAGCAGTCAGCTGGCAGGTGAATCCCAGCGGCCAATATCTCTCCCTACCGTGTAACTGAAAACTCGAGGGGCGCTGACACTTGGCCAAAAGTGAACCTTCCTTCAGCATTTCCAACTCCTGAAATCGGTCCTGGGTGTCTTGTAGCCTAAAGGGCAAAAATCCAGAAGACTCTGGGAAGGATGTGCCTTGCGTGGGAGTTACGGTGCTGTGGAGGATATGGGAACCGCATGAAGCTCAGTGAGGCCGAGTGCGGGGTCCTGCACTTGTTGGGGCAGCCCCCGGTATCCACACGGGTTGGGGGTGGAGGGATGGAGAGCAGCCCTGAGGAAAAGGACTTGGGGGTGTTGCTCGATGAGAAGCTCAACATGAGCCAGTAATGTGTGCTCGCAGCCCAGAAAGCCACCGGCATCCTGGGCTGCATCCCCAGCAGTGTGGCCAGCAGGGTGAGGGAGGGGATTCTGCCCCTCTGCTCTGCTCTCATGAGACCCCACCTGCAATGCTGTGTCCAGCTCTCGGGCCCTCAGCACAAGAAAGACAGGGACCTGTTGGAGCGGGTCCAGAGGAGGCCACAAAGATGATCCCAGGGCTGGAGCCCCTCTGCTGTGAGGACAGGCTGAGAGAGTTGGGGTTGTTCAGCCTGGAGAAGAGAAGGCTCCGGGGAGACCTCAGAGCCCCTTCCAGTCCCTAAAGGGGGCTACAGGATGGGAGAGGAGGGACCCTTTATCAGGGAATGGAGCGAAAGGACACGGGGTGACAGTTTTAAATGGGAATAGGGTATATTTAGACTAGATATTAGGAAGAAATGTTTCAGTCAGAGTGGTGAGCCCCTGGCCCAGGTTGCCCAGAGAAGCTGTGGCTGCCCCATCCCTGGAGGTGTTCCAAGGCCAGGCTGGGTGGGGCTTTGAGCAACCTGGTCTAGCTATATAAACATTACTTAGTAACAACTGAAGCAATATGTGTTATCAACATTATTCTTGTACTAAACCCAAAACACAGCAGCTACTAGGAAGAAATTTAACTCTATCCCAGCTGAAACCAGGACATCCTGCTTACAAAACATTGGTAATAATCACGTCTGACAACCTTTTCCTCATTCCAGTATTTTTTTTTATATTCCACAATAACACAGGAGAGCAGACACATGTTCCTGGTTGCCACCAACTCTTCCAACATGCTACTATTTCTGCCTATAGAAGAGATCTACCTGCTGCCACTCCATTCCCATGGAGCTGCTTTGCTCACGTATTTTATCCATTTATTAAGACAGATCGTCACGCAAACCATCTTTTTGTTGTCTGAGTATCAAGGGAAAGGAAAGTTGTATGATCTGTTCTTGCAAGCCCTCTCCTGCTGCCTTTGCTGTTCAGCCAAAGCAAGGGAAACTGCTCTCAGCTTTGGTCTGCAAATCCTCTGGCATAGAAGCATTCTCAGCCTCTGTCTCTATTTTTCCAGTGCAGATGCTTGTTGGAGTAGAAGAGGGCATGCCATGACTTAAAGTAGTGGCATTCCAACAACATAACTTCAATGGAATTGACAGATTTTGAAGATTTTCTATAAGCAATTGCATTTAGATAGAATCATAGAATCATTTAGTTTGGAAAAGACCCTTGAGTCCAACCGTTAACCTAACACTGCCAAGTCCACCACTAAACCATGTCCCTCAGCACCACATCTACACGTCTTTTAAATACCTCCAGGGATGGCGACTCCCCCACTTCCCTGGGCAGCCTGTTCCAATGCTTAACAACCGTTTTGGGGAAGAAATTTTCCCTAATATCCAATCTAAACATCCCCTGGCACGACTTCAGGCCATTTCCTCTTGTCCTATCGCTTGTTACTTGGGACAAGAGACCGACCCCCACCTTTCTACAACCTCCTTTCAGGTAGTTGTAGAGAGCAATAAGGTCTCCCCTCAGCCTCATTTTCTCCAGGCTAAACAACCCCAGTTCCCTCAGCCACTCCTCATAGCACTTGTTCTCCAGACCCCGCACCAGCGTTGTTGCCCTTCGCTGGACGCTCTCAAGAATGTCAACATCGTTTCTGTAGTGAGGGACCCAAAACTGAACACAGTATTCGAGGTGGGGCCTCGTGCTGAGTACAGGGGGACAATCACTCCCCTAGTCCTGCTGGCCACACTACTCCTGATACAAGCCAGGATGCTGTTGGCCTTCTTGGCCACGTGGGCACACTGCTGGCTCTTACTCAACCAGTTGTTGACCAGCACCCCCAGGTCCTTTTCTGCCGAGCAGCTTTCCAGCCACTTTTCCCCAACCCTGTAGCGCTGCATGGGGTTGTTGTGACCCAAGTGCAGGACCCGGCACTTGGCCTTGTTGAACCTCATACCACTGGCCTTGGCCCATCAGTCCAGCTTGTCCAGATCCCTCTTCAGAGCCATCCTACACTCAAGCAGATCAACACTCCCTCCCAACTTGGTGTCATCTGCAAACTGATTGAGGGTGTGCTCAATCCCATCGTCCAGGTCATTGATAAAGATATTAAAGAGAACCAGCCCCAGTACTGAGCCCTGGGGAACATCACTTGTGACCAACTGGATGTAACTCCATTCACCACCACTCTTTGGGCCTGGCCTTCCAGCCAGTTTTTAACCCAGTGAAGAGTATGCCCATCCAAGCCATGAGCAGCCAGTTTCTCCAGGAGAATGCAGTGGGAAACAGACTCAAAGGCTTTACTAAAGTCCAGGTCAACAACATCCACGTCCCTTCCCTCACCCACTAAGCAGGTCACCTTGTTATAGAGGAAGATCAGGTTAGTCAAGCAGGACCTGCCTTTCATAAACCCATGCTGACTGGGCCTGATCACCTTATTGTCTTGTACATGCTGCATAATGACACTCAAGACAATCTGCTCCATAACCTTCCCCAGCACCGAGGTCAGGCTGATGGGCCTGTAGTTCCCTGGATCCTCCTTCCAGCCCTTCTTGTAGATGAGTATCACATTTGCCAGCCTCCAGTCAACTGGGACCTCCCCGGTTAGACAGGACTGCTGAGAAATGATGGAAAGTGTCTTGGTGAGACACTTCCACAAGCTCCCTCGGTACCTTTGGCTGGATCCCATCTGGCCCCATAGACTTGTGTGTGTCTGAGTGGTGTAGCAGGTCACTCACCATTTCCCCTTGGATTATGGCGTCTTCATTCTGCTCCCCATCCCTGTCTTCCAGCTCAGGGCCTGGGAACCCAGAGAACAATTGGTCTTACTGTTACAGACTGAGGCAACGAAGGTATTAAATACCTCAGCCTTTTCCTCGCCCTTTGTCACTGTGTTTCCCCTCACATCCAATAAAGGTCAGAGATTCTCCTTAGCCCTCCTTTTGTTGTGAATGTACTTAAAGAAACATTTTTATTGTCTTTTACTGCAGTAGCCAAATTAAGTAAATTCTAGTTGGGATTTAGCCCTTCTAATTTTCCCCCTGCATAACCTCACAGTGTCCTTGTAGTCCTCTGGAGTTTCCTGCCCCTTCTTCCAAAGGTCATAAATTCTTCTTTCCTCCCTGAGTTCCAGGCAAAGCTCTCTGTTCAGCCACGCCAGTCTTCTTCCCTGCCACCTCGTTTTTCGGCACGTAGGGAAA